AAAAAAATATAACTAAATACTTCTACTCCTAATTCTTATATCCGTTTACACAAATAAATACAATTTTAAATGCAAAATAACATTAATAATGTAACCATTGTTGTCAAAATCTAGATTTAAATCTTAAAATCTTACGATTTTACGATTTTAACAAGACATTTCGTGTAAAATCTATACTAAAATTTGAAATTCATAAAATCTGAAGATTTCACGGTAAAATCTAAATTTTAGCGTGAAATCAGGTAAAATCTTGATTTTACCTTCTGTTTGGCAGCTGGACTTTTAGCCTATTTCCTTTAAAGCTTTTCATCTTGGATTAGTGAGTTTTGACTAGATAACCCATAAATTAAGCTCATTTTTCATTTTAAAAGCCCACAACCTACACAACCCAACCACAAATCAACATTTTAATCAGAAATTCAGGATAAATTTGATTTAACCATCTAAAATTCTAAATTTAAGTCATCTTCTTCGTTTAATTTATTTGTCTTGTTGGATATTTAGATTTTAATTAGCTAATTTCAAGTTTCTAACTCTAAATTTAATTTATTATTATTTAATTTTAATTTTATATAATTTATTATATATTATATATTAAATTTTATAAACTCTTAATTTTACCGATTCGATTTTACGATTCCGATTTTACCTAATTAAAATGATTTTGGGTAAAATCTCGATTTTGACAACCTTAAATGTAACATAAATTAAATCGTTAGTACGATGGAATTCAACTAATTTATTTGTCCCCGTTATCATTTTCCTTCTTAATTACGCAATTACTTTACGTTAATTAGTCAAAAGCAAACTTAAACAAGGACAGGCCCACTGCAGGAGGGCCAAGATGCCCTCTGCATTCTCTGTGGAAAAAAATATGAAGAAATTACTGATCATTTGCTGTTCTCATGTAAGGAATCGTGGAAAGTATGGTCTTTATTGGCTTTGTGGAAAATATGAAGAAATTATTGATCATTTACTGTTCTCCCGTAAGGAATCGTGAAAAGTAGTCTTTGTGCTATGATTGATTTTCTGGAAAATATGGAGAAATTATTGATCATTTACTGTTCTCTTCGGAGAAACTGCG